TTGGAGTTGTAGCCACATGGTCGTTGCATCCTGAAAATTGGGATGACCAGCTGATCAGTTTTTGCAATCTGGGGTAGCCGTGTGGCACGAGTCCACAGCACAGTCGGCGCCTTGGTTCCTGGCATATGCGTAGTCCAGGTGTCAAAGGGTTTCGGGTTTAGGGTTTAGGGTTTAGGGTTTAGGCATTAGGGGAGGCCAGTTTAAAACCCTTCTGAACCCTGCTTCTGGCTCTTTCGAAAGGGACTTTATTATAGAGACTCCATATTTTTGCAAGATTCCCCCTAATCCTAACTCCCACCAAGGGAGCTTTGCATGTGACCCCCCCAAGCTTCTAAGCTCCTCCTTCGACTGAGGCCAATCGCTCGCCGTCGCCTCCCTCCATGCAGCTCGTGCTGCACACCTTGATGTCGTCTGTCAGCTTCCTAAAGTCCTAAACCCTAAACTCTAACGCACAAATCGGGAAGTGTATCAAAACTCTAATCCCTAATGAAACCCACCTATCTGTACCTATCTGAGGTACCGCCGCTACGTGGTCCCTTCCTACCAGAAGCCTGGAAGGGCACAGCAAGCCACGAGGCCCACGGCTCGGTCTCTAGGTTCCTGAGTAGTAGCCTTTTGCCCCTTTCTTTCTTTTAGGACCCCTTTATTCAAACCGAATAGTAGGACAAAGCCCTAAACCCTAAACCCTGCAAAAAAACCCTAAACCCTAAACCCTAAACTATTATAAAGGGGGTACTCAGACACCTAGGTCTATGTCCCCCCTTCCACGGACGGGCTATCTGCCCATGGCTCCACGAGGTCGCCACACAGGACGGCGACGGTTTAGGGTTTTAGAGTTTAGGGTTTAGGGGTTAGGGTTCAGGGTTTAGGGTTTAGGGTTTAGGGTTTAGGTGGGGAGGGGGCCTGTCAGGCTTGGCGTTGGCATGTCTGGGTTTAGGATCTATGCAAGAAACAGATGTGTTTTAGATGGTTTCGAGAAGCAGGGCTCTGACACCTGACCCTCAACCCGAAACCATAAGCCTCTGAACCACCCGACTTGTTCTCAAGACCCTGTCAACCAAAAATGTGGCATGCAGGATGGATGCCTTCGATGCCGGTGGCGCCCGTGTCGGTGCGATGGTCACCGAGCCCCCGGCAGCGTACGAACATATCGCACAAGCCTCAGTCCATCCTTTCGGGCAGAATATAGGAGCTTAAACAAGTACCTATACTGTTTTTGGGTTCCTTATCATTATTATTATTGTTATTATTCTTATTTATATATTTATAGCATTATGGACCCCAAAACCCTATTCTAATTATTAAGGCCCTCCCTACATTACTATGGCGAGGGCCTCAGTCTCATAGTTCAACCGTTAAAGTGCAGTATATACCAAGGCCTTCCTTACAAGGCCCCGGAAACTCGCCGAGGCATTCATGAAAAAACAAGACGAAGCAGACCTTCCATGGTAACTAACTATGCATGGTGTATGATGACGTTCCGGATGTCCACCTAGGATTGATAACACAGCCACGCAAACACGCACATGCATTGCTGAAACACTGAAATGTCGCTCCTCGATGTGTCCTTCAACAGGCAAGGAAGTTAGATAATCACCATGGTGAGGAAGCTAATTTGTACGTATGCTATACATTAAATGTCACATCAGAAACTTTTATATCTGTCGATGAAGTTCCTTACCCAGGACCCGTTTATGTTCACGCAATGCAGGGGGCCGGAACAATAAGTCGCAGTATTCCTTGCGAATTTAAGTATCAATAAAACCCAAAATCGTATTCTGTACCTATGAAGGTCGTTCTATGAAGTCTTTGTTCCAGTTTGTTCCCCAAGGCCGAACCTTTAAACTTTTTGGGCTCTTATAATTCAGTAGTAATCTGAAATTTTAACATTTTATTTCCTTGGCATCTAAACCCTAAACCCTAAACCCCTAAACCCTAAACCCTGGGGAAGTAAGAACTCCAGATGCCGGCCTCTCGAGGCCCGCAACAACAATTCACGGCTCCGGTCCCTTCCATTCGCTGCAGGAGCCCTGAGCGTGAAGATTTGGGGATTCATATGGAAGCATAAATAATTACCTATATTATTCCTTAAGGGTTCCTTATTATAAATATAGTATAATGGGCCCCCAAACCCTAAGGGTTCCTTATTATAAATATAGTATAATGGGCCCCCAAACCCTATTGTAATTATTATGGCCCCTGCATTAGCATTCAGGGTGTCAGGGTTGGGCTGCTAGAGTCTCTCTCGTAAATCAGCCAGGGGTCTGCAGCCGAATCAGTGGCTGGTCAGAACGGTTTCTGCGACTTTGAATTCTTCCCGTGTCCCACTTTGGGTTTGACTGCTCTTGAAACGAGGCGGGTCCTTGGAATAAGGGTAGCAGGAAGTTCCACTCGTACCTGAACCCTGCGATCCTGAAGATCTATAAGGCCCTCGAACCCTAAGCCAAAACCCCCAATTGGATGGATCTCCAGGAACCAGTAGCCGTCGATCCGCGTAAAGCCCCAACGCCTCCGTCCAACACTGCCGCAGCTCGTCCTGAATTTAATGGTTCAGGCTGTCAGATCCAAAGGGTTTCGGATTGAGGATGCTATGGTTTTCTTGAAGGATGCAAAAGCAGGGCTTCAGGTGTTTAGGGCTTGAGGCTACAAATTTTTTCGAACTTAAGACCCTCGCAAGGCTGTGCCCAGCTGACCGTGTGAAAAAACGTGTTGTACGTGCAGCTGTATGGCAGTATCCTATATTGTCTTATGCCATATTATATGATGCGAGACGGCATGAAATTATAATACCGCTTTTGTTTTGCCACATCTTGTAAGCGATAGTGACCGATAGTGTGCATGCACGTATACAGACATGCATGCATGCATGCATGCATGCATGCATACATACATACATACATACTCACATACATATATACACCTTTATATACACGCCATTGAAATACTTGATCATGCGGTTTCGCATTGTAGGATTCAACTCTATAATAACATGCTATGTTCGGTTAAACAATTTCTACACTCATCATGTTGTTCATTGGGCTTTATACATGATATGGTGTATACACCGTGCTTTGTGAAGTATGTATGACTTCCAGCATTACAGGTGGTCTTTCTAAGTTGCCACCTATTCAACATCATCTCGTATAAGAATCATAAACACAGGTGTTTACACATTTGCACGGTGTATATTGCATGACCTCAGGTATGTTATTTGCTTAGGGGCTGAGTAGGTAACCTTTAACCTTTTGGGGCTCATATAATCCTACTATAATTAAATTAACAGGTTAACCTTTTGTGGGCAAGGGTACTAAACCCTAAACCCTAAACCCTAAACCCAGCTTCTGAGTCTACGTTTCATGTGGACCGGCCCTTCATCCCAAGGCGGCGCCGGCAAGGGCGGAGGTCACCTCGAAGCCTCACGCAGCCCGTGTTGAGTCTGTGGAGTCCCTCAGCGTGTGCCCTGATGGACAGCGGGTTGGGGGTAGGGTTTGGGGTTTAGGGTTTAGGGTTTAGGGTTTCGGGTTTAGGGTTTAGGGTTTGGGGTTTAGGGTTTAGGGTTTAGGGTTTGGGGTTTAGGGTTTGGTGTAAAGGGGTTAAAACCTCACAGTTAGGAAGGTTCAGGGTTTAGGTTTCATGCATAAAAGGGTTGAGGAAAGCCCACGGTAACTTCAGAGCTCAGGGCTAGTTTGTCGAGCTTCGCAAGGTCCAGCATCTGTGGTTCAGGGTGCTTCCGATGTTATACAAGATGCTTGAGTGGCTTAATATAGAAGCCTAAATAATTACCTATATTGTTCCTTAGGGTTCCTTATTATACATATAGTATAATGGTCCCCAAAACCCTGTTCTAATTACTAATGCCCCTACATTAGAGCCTTCTGCAGTCACCGTGGGATTGGTCGTCGTCTTGCCTCTGCACTGTGACATGCATTGTCTTTCAATGCTCTATTTAGCACTCGCGGTTGAAAAGAACCGTGTACATGGATGGGTAGGCATGTAGCATAGTCAAAGAAGCATATTCAATGATTGTCCTTTCGTCGTGTGGCCCCGTGCGTGAGGACCACACCGTGGGCTTGGTAGTTAAAAATGACTTCAAGGCCCACATATCCTGGCATCTGTGTCCCCAAAATAATCCAAGATGCTCGCTTTGTCTACCGAGGTAGCCAGGGTAGCGGCTGAATATTGCCTGAGGCAAGGATTCTTGAGCCTTCGCTTCCCCGAAGATTCACTTAAGTAGGTCGCCATCATCAAGCGTGGCTATTTGCGCTCTCTCTACGATGCCAAAGCGCGGATATCCGTTGCATGTGATATAGGGGTCGGAATATGTTTTCAAAATTATGTTTCACCTAACTATACATAACATATATTTCCCACAAAGCCCTATCAAACAATTAAGGCTCATACATACAAAAACCCTTGTATGTAGACATGATGAAGCCTGTAATAAGGAACCCCAATTCAATTATTCGGGCCCCTATGGTGTTTTGAATCTGTCTTTCCAACTCGCTGCTGTCCGACGCTCTTTGTCGGGGTGCGGACAGCAGAGGAGGATCCAGGCGTTCAATGAATGTAGGTACTGTAATAGTAGTCACAGTACACTACCTGTCGCCACCAGTTTTCTGCTTGACAGGAATAGGCGCACGATCGGAATCAGTTTCGTCCAAACTTCAACGATGAACCTCATCATCAGATGTGATCACATCATCAGTAGTATTCATCAATCCAACAAACCGTCGGATCCATGATGCGGGTTGTGCACAGTTTGGCACTTCCTGCGCTCAACTCTCTGGCCACTCCTCAAGAGAGTGGTTCCGAGATGATCCACATTACAAGCTGTTACGGTTGCAGGAGATGATCTAGAGGTCGGAACAGTTACCAGTAGTATCCTCTTATGGTTTCCTCATATTCTTATAATTTATTACAGTCGGGTTTAGTGCGCACATAAAGTTGAAGCTGTTTCGAAAGCCTGCGAAATTCGCGATGCCTTATGCCAGCCGTGCCCGGTCCTCATGTATGATTTTGGTGCCGAGAGAGTTTCGGTGCCGTTAACACTGCACTGCGGCATGCTTGTACAAAACAAGCCTGCGGTTTCATGTCCTTCGCTTTTTTACAGGAAAGTCAATCACAAGCATGGGCTCCAAATGACCCAGTGAGCATTGTGGAGCTGTGGGAAAAATGGGCACTTCGCTGCCCTCGCCCGTTTGTCTAGAGTCTAGAACCCTAATCCCTACCTTAAACTACCACAACCTACTTTTTCGTAGGGTTCCTATAAATTCGATGTTAGGGTTTATAATTTATAATGAGGACCTACCAAAAATTCGGTTATGGTAGTTCAAGGTAGAAGTATCCCAGGATTGCACTAGCAGCCAGCAATCTGACCTCTCCGGGTTTGTCGGCCCCTCGTTGTTAGGCATTCCATCATAGGGTTTACTTATGTATTTCGTAGCGAAGGGATGTTACATACAAGAACATGCATGCCTATGACGCTCTCCTCCTGTTGTTGCGAGACAGTTTCGAAGAGTTTTGCGACAGTGGCACGTTCCGATCATGTGGCATGCTCAACCGTTATCTGGGCCCTACGAAACTTACCTTTTCAGGCTCTGGCCTCTGCTCTTACGGCGCCTCTTCCGTGAATGTGTTGCCGGCTTCAGGGAGACTTATCGTTGTTCATCTCGTCTCGTTGTCCGCATTTCTGTGCCCAAGCGAGGGAAGCCGTGCACGAAGGCATCCCGCATCCTGTCAGATCTCGCACGCACATCTAAATTCCCAAGCCCGAGAGCATGCATTGGTAGCAGTAGCAGCAGCATCACTCTTTTCAATAACGGCGTGGGCACAAAACCTCTAGACTCCTAAAGTCCAAGCCCAGATCAACTCAGTTCCTCGTTCTTCAGCCGCGTCGCCCGGATTGTCCAAGTTGTGAGAGTCGAAATCCCGAGTGGGTGGCCCAAAATTTGAACTCCCTAGGCCACGAAACCATGAGCTACCAAGTTTCTAAAGAGGCCAAGAAAGAAAGGGTATCGGAAGTTCACGATCCCGTGAACAGCACCTCGAGCTGCCCACAGCCTGGCATGGGATCCACCCGGGACCCGGCCTTAAAAGCAACGGTTTGGGGTTTTCTATAGGGGGCGTAATCATTACCTGTACTATTTTGGGGGTTCCTTATTATAATTATGGTATGATGGGCCGCAGAACCCTATTTTTTTTATTAAGGCCCCGACATTAGCATTTTAGGTTTGCTGCACAACGAGGCCTGTTGCAAAAACAAGTCTCAGGTTTAGGGATTAGGCTTTGGCGTCCAACTTCCGGGTGAGGTCGCAAGCCTGCTGCAGAAATGCGTTCAGGCAGATGTTGCAAAAAGGGATCATCTGAATAGTTGCCAATACTGCTACTTTGGGGTGTCTTGATCTTCAGCTTTACTAGTGTACTAGAATATCCCCAAACCTCAGTTCAAAGGCCCTTGGTCTTGATAGGGTTCCCAGAAAAATCCAGGCCCTTAGCCTTAGGATGCTCTTGGTTTATTCAGAGACTGACTCCTGTCAGAGGACAGCTTCAGAATTTGGCGCATCTTCAAACCGCTGGAACTGAAAAGCTAAGCGGAGTATAGAAGCCTAAGCAATTGCCAGTATCAGTACTTACGGATCCTTATGCTAACTCTACTATAATATATCATATCGCCCAAAATCCTATTCTAATTATTATGGAGGCCCCTACATTTGGCATGAAGCAATGAGTGATGAGCAGATACACTATACTGCACCCGTTCTTTGCAGCCTCTCGGAGCCTCTTGGAGCCCAAACCCGGTTCTCCAAACCCAAACCTGGAAGATGAGTGAATAAGGTTTGGGGTTTAGGGTTTAGGGTTTAGGGGAGCCCAGAGACAAGGCCCACTGATACTAGGGTTTAGGGTTTAGGGGTTTCAAACTCCCAATTCCTACACCCTCAAACCCTAAACCCTAAACCATCTTGCGCTCGCGTTTGGTTTCACTTCTCAGCGGACTTCGGAGCACATGCCTCGCCTGGATTGTCTGAGTTGTGACCGCCGAAACACCAAAACAACAAGACCGCCTTAACCCCGAGCTCCGAAAGTCTGGGGTTTAGGGTTTAGAGAGTGTTTAGAGGGTTGGTTTATAGGGTTTTTTGGGTTTAAGGGTTTAGAGGGTTGGTTTATTGGGTTTTATAGGGTTGGCTTGTAGGGTTTATAGGGTTGGTTTATAGGGTTTATAGGGTTCAGGGCTCTAAGACCCAAACCAGCTTAAACCCTGAAAAGACCTGAGGCGCACTGGCTGGGACGATGGGGGAGGTCAGCGGACCTCCAGGCTTCCCGAGGGTTAGGGATCAAAAAAGGATTCTACGGCTTTAGGGTTTAAGGGTTCAGGGGTTTAAGGGTTCTTCTAGGGTTTGGGGCTGGGTTTGGGGGCTCTAGGGCTCTAAGGATTTGGGGTTCCAGGGTTTTGGGATTAGCGCGCTCGTCATTTTTCATGCGCCGGTTCTACGGACTGTGTGTGTGTCGAGTTGCTCAATTCGGAGTTGTGCATGGAGGTGAATCGCTTGCTGGGCACTTGCCTCACAGATCGACTGTGCTTGATGTGTCAGATTGTGCTCACTTCATTCGTGGCTGACGCTAGTCAGCAGTACTAGCTTGCTCCCGTGCGGGGGCGGTCGGCGGGTTTCTGGCCAGCATCCGTGGAGACCAGATGCAAAGAAGGGCTTTAGGTCAGGGTGGGTTAAGGGGTAAACCCTAATTAGACGAATCGCAAGGACCTGAACCGCAGGGGCGAGCATCATCAGCATCAGTTGAAGCCTGTGATTGGGCGGAGTCAGTGAACCGCAGGTCGAACATCAACCCAAAGCCCTCAAACCCTGTCCGAGCTTTCATGATGTTGCATGCGAGCTTGGGCTTCGGGTGGGTTTAAAATGATGGCAGAACTGTCATCCGGGATGCCTTTCTGCAGCCGACATGCCAACAAACGAAAAAGGGATAGAACCCGAATAGAATCCTGTAGACCACTTTTGAACCAAAGCCCAACGAGCATTCCGGTGATGCACTCAATCTTGCCAGCGCAAGGCAGAAGCCCTGAGAAGCAGAGGCTGCCAGAAATAGTTTTGCAGTTCTTAAGCTTCGGGGCCCATTTCGAGTTTGTTTGTTGATGTTGATATGCTAGTAACCCAAAGGGGCCATTGAACGTACCATTCTTCATCTTATGCGCCGAAGAGCATGTAGAATGAAGGGTGGCTCATCTAGAGATTCTTGTTTTAGACATCCAGCCTTGAAGGGATTCTGAGTCCCTTATGTTTCGATGGTCCCATGTAGCTGTTGTTTGCCTGCTTGCCCTGTGGACATCTGTGGATCCGAAGCTTCAAATCCAGAGGCCCCGCTCGTTTTTCACCCGAACTTTTAGTAGAGGGAAACATGGTCAAAACCATGGTTCCATGAACCCTAAACACTAAACCCGGACCTG